AAAAAAATATATATTTCATTGTGTAATACATTACCAAAAGCATTTACTTGCAACAAGGATAGTGTAATTTTGTGCAAATAGGAGAGACCTAACATAAACAAAGATAACCCACTAATGTTATCTAACATAGCCTATGTAACCTAACATAATCAGTCATTACTTAATGTAACCTTACCTAACCTTAAAAAAAAAAAAAACTTAGGTAATCTACTAAATAAATGTTTCAGTGGTGCTCACATTGTAAGTGTGCAAAATTTGGTTGGAAAAAGTAATTTCATGTGTATCACAGTGAGAAGACATTACGCTTGTGTATGAATGTTTGACAATCTAAAGTGGAAATGTTTGAGCTGTAATTGGCTAGATGTGTCACATGATTTGATAATAACAGTTGACCAGCCCATCCTTGGTTCATTCTAGCAAACTTAAAAGGTATTATTCTGCCTGATAGCTCTCAAAGTAATAATTTGCACTATCAATAATTATTTTTGCTGGGATATGGATAGCTTGCTTATGTTTAATAAAGCAATGGCTGAGTTATGGCGTCTGTGTAAAGTAAACATTGCCTGAGATCTTTACACTAATAGAAAAATAATGGGATCATCTCTGGATTCATTGGTGACACTGACAAGGTCACTAGCATTAAAGTTCAGTGCACTTAATCTTTCTTTGTTAGATTCCTCATACTACACGAAATTAATTTTCTCGACCATCATATATTTTTATGACATGTCCTTTCTGTAATATGAAAATAAGAATTCTTCCATGTAATCTGTACTAGACCTTACAAATGACTAATATAGTAATTATATGTATAATCTAGGGATTTCTGTTACCTAGACATCTTGGTGTGGAGACAATTTCCATTATTATTATTATTATTATTATTATTATTATTATTATTATTGTCATTAGTAAATTCAAGTTGTTGCATCTTCTAGGTCATTTATTTGAATTGTTAACAAGAGACCTAATATAGGCTCCTGTGGAAGAATGCTAATGACCAGACCTTGTACTGTTTTCTCCCCATTCATGCAAAAACTATTAGTCAGCCACCCCATGATCTAAGAGAACTTTATTATCATCTTGTGCTTCGAATTATGTTCACTAGTCTCTGGTGTGGTTCTTTACCTAAGCCCTTATTGAGTTCCAGATATGAAAAGTCATCCTTTTAAAAAATCTAGATGAAATACCCCCCCCTCCAAAAAAAAAAAAAAAAAAAAAAATTATTGCATAAGTATGGGCCTTTCCATATATGATAAAACCTTTACTGTTCAATCTCTTATACAACTGTATCATCTTAGATGATAAATTTGTTTAAAAAATGCCAGTAAATTTGTTTAAAAGAGAATGAGACCTTGTGAGAAAGTGTTGATTCATTTATCAAATTATGCACACAAACATATTCTAGAGTTGTGCCTGCTGTTAATTCCAATAATTTATCAACTTTTGATCAAACTGATAGGGTAATAATGTGAAGAGCCTGTCTCCTGGTGTGTAATAGGTATCACACTAGCAGTCTGTTACCTTCCTGGCATTAAGTCCTTCACTACTGACAAATATGTCTTTGCATAATCTGCTCTAACACAAATAATTCTTGGCAATATAAACACAAATGCAGTATAATGTGATCCTTTATTGACTACGTTTCGCCCACACAGTGGGCTTTTTCAAGTCACAAACAGAACTACCTGGGGTGGAAGGAACGCGAGTATTTATAGTCCGGCTGAGGTCAGGTGAAGAATGCTGCATCTGATGATGTACCGAGTGGGGTTATAGTCTAAAAACTTGGGTAGCTTGGAAAGGAGATTGGATAAGTTTGTGAGCAGACCTTCTACAGTGTTCTTATGTGGGATAGCGATGAAGAAGTTTCTTGGCAAGTGGTTCAGCTATGTTATAGAAGCCACTATTCTGGTTGAAGTTGTCGGATATAGAAATAAGTGATGATTCCAGGATTCTTCGGTATTGAGTGTTGTCTTCCTGTGTCGATAAGTCTTGAGTTTCTGTAGTTTATCAAGGGGGTTGTGTGAATTACGGTGTTGTACCAGGCATTCCTTGTGTCGTCAGACTGCTTGTGTATTGGTGTTCTGAAATACGTGTTTGGAGGTCCCTTGATGTTTCGCCCACGTATAACTTGTTGCAGTCATTACAAGGGATTATGTATACCCCTGCAGAGGATGGAGGCTTGTCCTGCCTACTACTGGTGATGTCCTTGATGGTCGTGGTTGTGGAGGTAGATACTTGGAATGATGTTTTGGCAAAGATGTTGGAAACATGTTTGGCAATGGAGTTGGTGGGAAGGACTATGTATCTCTTCTCGGCAGTGTCTTCTCTGGGTGTGTTGAAGATGTTTAATGCTCGCCGTCTGCAGTCTCTGATGAAGTGACGAGGATAGTGGAGTTTAGAAAATATTTGTTCAATTATAGTGCATTCTTCCTCAAGGAACTCGTTGCTGCAGATTCTGAGTGCACGCAGGAAGAAGCCTATAATTACACCACGTTTGGTTTTGGTGTCGTGGTGAGAGTAGAAGTGGAGAAGATCGTTTTGGTTGGTGGGTTTTCGATAGACTTTAAAACGAAGTTCGTGGTCAGCTTTGCAGAGCAGGACATCAAGGAAAGGAAGAGTGTTGTCGACTTCTTCTTCAAGTGTGAACTGGATTGAAGGTTCGACCGGGTTGAGCTTGTCTTGGAGAGCTTGAACGTTGAAGCGTTTAGGAGTTATGAGGAGAATGTCGTCAACATAACGGAGCCAGGTGACAGACGAAGGAATAATGGTGGAGAAACGTTCGGCTTCTAGATGTTCCATGTATAGGTTCGCCAGGACTGCACTGAGTGGCGAACCCATGGGTAGTCCAAAAGTCTGCTGAAAGAGGTGATTTTCGAAAGAGAAACACGTAAAGCCAACACATAGTTCAACAAAGTCGATGAAATCGCTGGCTGGAATGGGAAGATCAAGTGAATCGTCAATTTTCCTGCGCAAGAGATCGATGGCTTGTGTAGTAGGTACTTTGGTGAATAGGGAAGTCACGTCAAGGCTGGAAAGTTTTCTTGTTCCTGATGTTGATGTTGCGAATGCGATTGAGAAGATCACCTGAGTGTTTGAGATGTGCTGGACTGATAGTGCCCAAGAGTTTAGAGAGGTGTTTGGCGAGAATTCCTGAGAGCTGGTGGGGGGCACTGCCTATTCCCGAGGATATGGGCCTCAGTGGGATACCAGGCTTGTGAGTCTTTGGCAGGCCGTACATTCTGGCAGGTCTGGGGTTGCTGGGCATGGTGTGCAGAAGTTTCTTCCCTTGTTTTGAGCCCCTCAGAATGCGGCGAGTCCTTTGAAGAAAAGTTTTAGTAAGGTTTTTCCACTTGGTTAGTTTGGAGAGGTTTGTAGGTATCTGGGTCATTAAGTAGATTGAGCATTTTGTTCCTGTAATCGTCAGTGTTCATGATAACAACACCACCTCCTTTATCAGCGGTGGTGACCCTGATGGTCGTGTCTTCTGCTAAACCTTTGAGTGCATTGATGTAACGTCGAGGTATGACTGGGGAGCTGCGTGTTGAGATGGCTGCTGAGATGATGCCTTGAAGATAGCCTTTTTGGAAGTTGGAGTCATTGTGTCTGTAGTTTTTGGCGATGAAATTGAGGTCTTGTTTTGGTTTCGTAATTCCTGTTGCGAATTTGAGGCCTAAGCTGAGGGCTTCAGTTTCTGTGGTTGACAGTGGACGAGATGAAAGATTTTGAATAATTTCAGGTCTTCCTAAACTTTTCCAATTACTATTATCGCAGAGTGTTTGTAGTTTCCTAGTAAGTCTGATCTTCTGTTGAACATTCGCTGTGGTAACTCTGCTGCGAATGATTTCGGCGGTGCGTCTGTTCATGTTGCCCCGGAGTGTTGTGCCTAGTGTTCTGGCTTGGAGGAAGGCTTCCTTTGTAGCATTGTTTAAGTCATCTGAACACTCTTCAAGGTAGGTCCGAGCTGTATCGGAGAAAGGTGGTTTGATGTTGGCAATTTGAGGAGGAGTAGATCTTGGTAAGACCATTTCTTGGATGCAATCACGAAGAAAATTGTGTCTGTTGCGAAGTGAGTAAGCTTTTAGACGGCGAGCATTAAACATCTTCAACACACCCAGAGAAGACACTGCCGAGAAGAGATACATAGTCCTTCCCACCAACTCCATTGCCAAACATGTTTCCAACATCTTTGCCAAAACATCATTCCAAGTATCTACCTCCACAACCACGACCATCAAGGACATCACCAGTAGTAGGCAGGACAAGCCTCCATCCTCTGCAGGGGTATACATAATCCCTTGTAATGACTGCAACAAGTTATACGTGGGCGAAACATCAAGGGACCTCCAAACACGTATTTCAGAACACCAATACGCAAGCAGGTCTGACGACACAAGGAATGCCTGCGTACAACACCGTAATTCACACAACCACTTGATAAACTACAGAAACTCAAGACTTATCGCCACAGAAGACAACACTCAATACCGAAGAATCCTGGAATCATCACTTATTTCTATATCCGACAACTTCAACCAGAATAGTGGCTTCTATAACATAGCTGAACCACTTGCCAAGAAACTTCTTCATCGCTATCCCACATAAGAACACTGTAGAAGGTCTGCTCACAAACTTATCCAATCTCCTTTCCAAGCTACCCAAGTTTTTAGACTATAACCCCACTCGGTACATCATCAGATGCAGCATTCTTCACCTGACCTCAGCCGGACTATAAATACTCGCGTTCCTTCCACCCCAGGTAGTTCTGTTTGTGACTTGAAAAAGCCCACTGTGTGGGCGAAACGTAGTCAATAAAGGATCACATTATACTGCATTTGTGTTTATATTGCCATTGTGTCGGTATTTTATACCATTTATTTCCACAAATAATTCTTACTAAATATTCATTAACCTTGGTAATTATGGTCTCCTTTAAGCTTTTTGTTAAAATTTATCATAATCTGCATAATTAAAACACAGTATATGATCTTGCTTTGCAGTTTAAGATATGTGAGACGAATGCCTTTCCACCAAACCAAAGGTATGTGTTCTGTATATAATATATATTACATATGGTAAGGCTTGAAAAACCTTAATTTTTTTCTCTCTGCTGACAGTTTACAAAAGAAAAGACACACTAGAAATGATTATCAGTTGAATGAAATAGTAAGCTTATACATATATTGTGCTTAGTTTGTTCTTCATATTCCAGGAATGAGTTTCCATCCTGTCTGTGTAATATATATGCATCTTTCTAATTTATTTCTAATTCAGATAACAAATTATTGTTGAGTTATGAATCGGTAAAAAAATTTTGAGGTGATTAATTTATTAATCAACTTGACTGTCAAGTTCAGAATAGGTGTACCTCATTTTATACTGTAGATGTGTTCTGGGCCTTTGGCATCTGTACTAAGTTCAACCCCTTTGGGGTCCAGAGACCAAATTTCAAAGTGTGCACCAGGGTCCAAGAATTTTCAAAAAAAAAAATCCGTTATTTTTTATTATGAAATGGTAGAGAATCTTTTTCTGAAGGTAATAAAACAAAAGTACAAAATTTGACGGGAAATTGACGAAATTATTCTCTTGCGAATTTTGATGTGTCAGTGATATTTACGCATTGGCGATTTTACCGACTTTCACTCCCATTTTAGGCCAATTACATTATTCCAGTTGACCAAATTCTTAGCTATTTCACTAGTATTACTTTTATACTATCAAATGAGCACAAGAAATCACCAAGTCAACTGTTTCAACTACAAAATAAAGTGATCGAAAATTGGTAATTTGGCCAATTTAACACAAAGTTCAAAATATTCCAGTTTCAAAACAGGATCCAGAATAAACAGTGCAGGCATTCCTGGCACTAAACAAACATTTCCTCTGTTCATTAGTTACGTTTTCAGGCTTTACAGATGAATTCCATTTTGATTTTTTATTCACATAATGAATTTTTATTCAAGCCAAAAAGAGAAGATTTACTGTTATGCAATATTGTAATTGTATAAATAATATCACCACATTTGTGAACGTATAATAAACCCATCAGCTGGCGTGTATTAGGCGGGTGAGGTCATTTATTTACTCTTGAACATCCTTCAAAAATTGAACATTTCTGCTAATTTGAGCTCAGTTTCAAGCCATTTCCAATACTAAACCCAATCAAAATCATCTCTACTTCTGTAACACATCTTCCATTCTATCAAATGAGACCAAGAAATTGCAAATACAACTATAAAAAGCATACGAAAAAAACACTGCAAAGTCGCTGTTTTAACCCTTTCAGGGTCGCCAGGCCCTCTCCGAGACTTGTTCTCAGGGTTGCCAAATTTAAAAAAAAAAATTATTTTTTCTTATGAAAAGATAGAGAATCTTTTCCCAATCATAATGACACCAAAAGTATGAAACTTGATGGAAAACTTACGGAATTATGCTGTCGCGAAGTTAGCTGTCTCAACGATGTTTACGCATCGGCGATTTTGCCCACTTTGAACCCTATTTTTGGCCAATTCCTGTGTCCTAGTCGACAAAAAGCATATTTATTTCACTAGAACTCCATTTTTTCTATCGAATGAGTACAAGAAACCACCCATTTACCAATTTCAACTATCCAATAAAGTGGTCAGAATTTAGCAATTTTCCCAATTTCACACAAATTTCAAAAGATGCCAGTTTCCGAATAGGGTCCAGAATAAACAAGGAAGTCATTCCTGGCACTAAAATAACATTTCCTCTGTTCAATAGTCACATCCCCACTCCCCTCTTACATTCTTTTGCTTTCCACTTTGAATTTTTATTCTCACAAAAAATAGAAGATTTACTGTTAAGCAGACTACTGCATTAGTGTAGAAATGGTATAAATAATAGCGCAATTGTGAAAGAATATTAAACTCACCAGTTGACGTGTATTGGATGCGTAGCATGATTTGTTTACTTTTGAACTTTGGTAAAAATCGAACATTTCTGCTATTTGAGCTCAATTTCAAGGTACTTTTCTTTGTAAAATCAGTCAAAATCATCTCAATTTCTGTAATATGTATTCCATTCTATAAAATGAGACCAGGAAAACTAGAATACAATAATAAATACCATACGAAAATAGAGTGCAAAGTCACTGTCTTAATCCAAAAACACGGTCATTTTTTTTTTCTCTTTACGCACTGTGTGCTGCAGGATTTTTTTATACTGCGCACACTGACCACATAGACCCATTCTTTCATATGTAGGCCTACCAGCTTTCTCTCACTAGATTTGAGGGCGCTAGAGTTTAGGCGTACTAGTACGTCAAAAGCCCTGGTGCGTAAGCCATACTAGTACGTCCGAAACCCTGAAAGGGTTGCTCGAAAATTACAGTCTCAGTTTTTTCTCTCATTATGCACTGTGTGCTGCAGGATTTGTTTTATGTGGTGCACACATACCACATAGATGTATTCTCTCATATCTAGGCCCAAATTTACTGCTCACAGCTTATCAGAGTGAGCTGAGCTCATGGCTTAGATCTACGGTTTGGACCCTCAACTCAAAGCCGTAGAACTACGGCATGGACCCTGAAAGGGTTAATCAGGTCAGGACACTTGAGTGTAAAGAATAAGAGTCTTCAGTGAGGTTTGCAAACTGTACCTACTGTATTTTGTGACCATAAATTACATATTCAGAAGTGCCAATAAAAATAGGACATCACATAATAGTGAATTCACATAGTGATTTTACATAAAGCGAAGCCACCATAAAATGAATCCGTATAAAGTGAGGGAAATCTGACAGTATGAAGCTTTGGTAAAGGTTATGCTCTTGTTCTATGTTATCTACTGTACCATAATTTAAAGCATTAAAAGCTAATAAAATCATAAAATCATCTTATCTCTCAATATTTACCAAATGAACCAAAACATCTGCTAATTAGTTTTATTATGTGACCTCTAGGCTTTTAATTCTGCCAATCCACAAAATATTACCACCTGAACCATTACTTGTAAGTTGGATTTTGTGTGCAGTTTCAAGTTTATTTTACCGAACCCTACTTCACCTTACTACCTCACATTTGTATCAAGTTTAAATAAGATTGTAAAACAGTTAACCACCACTACTTGTCTAGATTTAAGTATAGTTACTATGAACTATTATCTTATCTAGTTTTAATTAGTACTATGTATTAGGATTAATCTGCCCAAATTGCCTCGGCAATTTGTACTTAGCAAATCAAAATTGTAATTACACATTGTAACCTTTACAAAGAAATAATCTTTACTAGACTGGTATTGTGCAGTACTGCAGAGCAGGTGACAACATCTGCAAACTACTGTATATGTACTTAATCTAAAGCTGAAACAAACAGTAGCTAATTCAGGATTAACCCAGCTTGTTGCACTAAATTTTACTAACCCCAGAGTATACTTAATTTGGTTCTATTTAAATTAACTTGCTCTGATCTAACACACTCGCTCAAGAATACTGGATGCTCATGCCTCTTAACATTTAAAACCTCCTTTACCCCCCCTCTCTCCAACCATTCCTAAAATGATCCCTTCCTCTCTCTCCTGCCACCCCTGATTTATATACCCACTTGGTTCTCTTAGTCTGCTTCACTCTCTAAATGCCCAAATATCTCAACAACCCCTCCCCAGCCTTCTGATTTATATACCTTTGGTAGCCTAACACTGTCTTTTAATACCTATGCTCTGAATTTTCAGCTTGATAATCATATCACATATTGCTCTCAAACATGACATACCTGTCTCTAGCTTCCTCCTCTCTGCAATGTTTAAAGCCATTGCCTCACACTCATTTAAAAGTGTTGGTACCACTGTAATTTGGTTCATTCCCCTTTTTGCCTTCTTTCCACAGTTTCCTTAACTCTTTCACTGTCAGTGCCCCTAAAATACAGACACTCCTGTGTTGCAATTTTTTCTTAAAAATTATGCAGTATTTTCTAAAATGATTCAAGAATCTTGTTTTTAAAGGTAATGACACTAACAATGCAAAATTTGATGAAATAGAAAATTACAGAGGCATAAAGTTGGAGGTTAGGGATCAATTCATGCAATGGCAATTTCACTCACTTTGGACCTGTTTTAGGCAAATTCCATTGCTCATACTGACCAAATTCCTGACTATTTCACTAATATGCCTTCTGTACTAGTGTATTTAATAATCCCAAGAAATTGCCCATTCAACTGTCAAGATGTACCCCAAAAAGCAACCATAATTTAGTAATTTGGCCAATTTCACTTTATTTTCAACAAATTCTAATTTAAAAACAATCTAAAGCAAACACTGTAGGCATTAGAGCTACTAAAGCAACTTCCCTTTTCTTCATTAATCATGTCCCTCACCCTCTCCTATATAACTCTTCCCCTCCATTTTGAATCCATTATCACACACAATTGATGTTTTTTTTTCCCTGTTTCATGGCTAATAAACTATAACCAAGAATACTTGACCATGGGCTAAGCCATCTCAATAACTGAATCACTCCTAGTAAAAATCTAGCAAACAGACTGGAGGGGGGTGAGGGAGGGAGGACTCCTTCTTTAGAAAAATCGCCAAAATTCAGCTATTTCTGGCACATCGAGGCAACTTCCAGGCTGAAACTGACCAAAATCTTCTAGTCTATCACTTGGCACCAAAAAACAGCCAGTAAAACCACAAAAGCCACCCCAGAAGAACAAAAAAGGCTCTATACCGTGGCCAGATAACCCACACATAGGAAAGAGGAGCTTACTACAGCGTTTCGGTCTGACTTGTAAATGGTCCAAATCAGACCGAAATGTCATCATAAGCTCCTCTCTCCTATGTGTGGGTTATTTGTGTAAAATCACCCTAGTAAATGCCCCAAAGTTGCTATTTTAACCCAAACAAAGTCAGAGGGGGCTTTTTTTTTTTTAATGCTGTGTACACCCACTTCATAAACCCATTCTCTCGTGTCTGCTCTAAAATTTGTCCATCAAAGCATATTTGAGGGTTAATATTCCCTTACATCTGGAAGCAACATGCATTGCTTACAGAGGAAAGATTCTAAGTAAGTAAATTTATTCAGGTATA